GCCCCGCTTGCTGCCGCCTCTTCGCTCCGCGGCCGCCGCGGCCCGCCCGGTGCTGACGTCGGGGGGGAAACAAACTTTCTTCCCTCCCCTACTCAGCCTCCTTCGCTCTCTCTGAAGTTGCTAAAACACAAGCTCCTCTGGCCACACGCCCCTTCTTGAAGCAAACCTCGCCCCCTTCCTCTCCTCCCCTCCTCCTCACTCTCGTCTCGCTTGCCCCCACCGCTCCCGCAGCAGATCCGGCTGCTGGGGGACGCCCTCTGAAGTGTGTGTGGAGTGCGCGCGGGGTCTTTCTGGAGGCTGGGGGCGAGAAGGACTGAAAAAGAGGTGTCCTCCTTTCATCCTCCCCAGTCCCATTTTAGGGAGTGAGAAAGTTCAGTGTGTTTTTTGAATTCCCTAACAAATACCTGGGAAGTTGATGGAGGAAGGATGAGTAACCCCCGTCCATTTACAAATCCCCCTCCAGATAGGGAAATGGCTTCAAACTTTCAGTTCCACCCTCCTCTCCCCTAAGACACCCCGAAGTTGCTCCCGCCCCAGTGAAGAACTCAAGTCTTCAAGAAGCCCCCTTGCCCACTCGGCCTGGCCTCAAGGTTTAGTCTCCTGAACTCTCTTGGCTTCTGGAGTGCACAAATGTAACCCCTACCCTGGGGCCTGGCATAGGCCTCTGACCACCCCTAATATGCTCCAGGCCCTCCCCAAGGAAAACCAGCCTGCAAACAAAGAGTTTTTACTCTAGAATGCCTAGTATACACACAGCAGACAGACAACCAGACGACAGCCAGACTGACAGATGGCTGACAGGCAAACTCATGTCTCCATTCTTGTTTTTGTTTTTCCAGGAAAGCACAGAAAAGATGCACTCGGTGAGCGGTGAAGCTGGCTGACACTAACCCCTCCAGATGCTACCGTTCTTTCCCCAGGAGGCTGCTTGCTGGTCTATCCTGTCATCTCTGCCATTAGTACAGGGCAAGATATCATATCAGCAAAAACAGACACCTACCACCCACCCACCCCCAGGAAGAAACCTTAAGAATGTCCACTCTAGGCTCCCACACAGAAAAGTAGCCCTACTCATCCCCCTGAATACCTGCAGAGCTCCTCTTAGTCATTACATCTCCCCAAAAAGGCAATCACCCCCAAATGAGACTGAAAATCCCTCCAAGGGGCATTAGTTACGGTGGCCCATCAGGGCATGCCTGTGGTTAGGTTGAAGGTTTGGAGATAATGGAAAAGGGTTGGTAAAGGAGGCAGCAGCCTTCCTGGTCCCAGGGGCATTCAAGAGCACTGCAGATAGGAACCCGGCCCAGACACCACACTGAATGTACAGAACAACGTTCTCAAGAACTGAGCTGGCCGGACCTGCTACTTGGCTGTGGATGCTGCCTGGGGATCTTGCCCCTGGTAGAGCATTCAGTAAGCTCACAGAGTAAGTGTCTTGCTCCCAGGAAAAGCATAGCCTAGTGTTCCAAATGGCCCAACTGTGCTGTACTGTTATCATGACCTCAAATATATCCCCTCCCCTCTCGGAGCTTCAGTTCCACACCTGTCAAATGGGCCTAATCAAATTTCTAATCCTTGAGCACTGTAGGGATTCCATTGCAGGTAAAATCCTGGACCTGTGGCCTAGAACACAGGGGAACTTCTGTCAGGCCTACAGGGTTGGAAAGGGCCTTAGAGATCATCCAAGTTCTATCCCCTTGGATGACAGATGAGGACAGTGAGACAGCAAAGGCAGAGGCTTCTTCTGGAACCAAGAACAACTGAGATTGTTTGGTGAGGGACAACGTGCAACCCAAAGCTGGGAAATGTCATGTTAGGGTCTCTCAGTGGGACTGGTAGTCACAGTGGCTTCTTTCATCCACTTACACATTCATTCATTCATTCTATGTATATTGAGAGATGATTAGGTACCTGGGCTCTAGATTCAAATCTCAGTCCTGGAATTTCCTGTGAAGTGAACCCATAAGCAATCTCCTTAACCTTTTTTTCTCAGTTGCTTCATCTATAAAATGGGTTGTTCACATGATTAAATAAATTGATATATGTGGGACACCTGGCACCTAACAAGCATTCAATAGCTATTAACTATTATTTTTGCTAACTATTGTTGTTTTGCAAATTTGGAGAAAAGTATTAAAAGTACCATGGACTTCTAGAAGAACAAACAAAACTATTTTGGAAGATGTACAGCCAGAACGCTCCTTAGAAGCCAGACTTTGTCTCTCAGACATGTTATCAGAAAGGATTAGTCCCTGGAGAAAGACATCATGCTTGGTAAAGTGCAAGGCCAGAGAGAAAGATGGATTGGCACAGTGGCATTAGCAATGGGCTCACGTGTATTAACAGTTGTGAGGATGACACAGGACCGGACAATGTTTCATTCTGTTGTGAGTTAGGTCACTGTAAGTCAGAACCTAACAACAACAATGACAACATTTTTGTAAAAGTAACAAACAAAAAAATCACATCTATTTTGAGAAGCAGTGCAGCACACTGGTGAGCTTGTGGAAGGTCAGTTTGAATCTCTTTATTGCCATTTACTAGCTGTCTTATCTTGGATAAGCCACTTTTCCTCTCTGAGTCTGTTCCGTTGTCTGTAAAAAGAGGCCAATCCAAAGGGTTCTTATGAAGATGGCATTATTTTTGTTGCTGTTGGTTCTGAGTTGTTACTATGCTTGCCAGTCATGGGGATGGGAGCTAAGGTGGAGATTAGTGGTATGGGCTTCCTTCGGCAAGAGCTCCAGTCCTGATGTTGTTGTTATTGATTCATAGTGACCTTATACATAGCAGAAGGAAACATGGCCCAATCCTGAGCCAACCTCACTACCGTTGCCACACTTGAGTCTATCAATGCTGCCACTTGGCCAATCCATCTCATTGGGGGGGTCTTCCTCTTTTTCTCTGACCCTCCACCTTATCAAACATGATATCCTTCTCCAGCGACTGGTCACTCCTGAGAGATGAAGTTTGGTCATTTTGGCCTCCAAGGGACACTCTGGCTGCATTTCTTCCAACACAGATCTGTTGGTTCTATGGGCAGCCCATGGTACTTTCAATATTTTCCTCCAATACCATAACTCAAAAGCATCAATTCTTCTACAGTCTTCCTTATTCACTGTCCAGCTTTCGCATACATGTGAGGTTATTGAAAATACCATGGCTTGGGGCAGGCACACCTTAGTCCTCAAGCTGACATCTTTGCTCTTCAACACTTTAAAAAGGCCTTGTGCAGCAGATTTGCCTAATGCAATACATCCTTTGATTTCTTGACTGCTGCTTCCATGAGTGTTGATAGTTGATCCAAGAAGAATGAAGTCCTTGACAACTTCAATCTTTTCTCCATTGATCAGAATGCTGTTTATTGGTCTAGTGGTGAGGATTTTTGTTTTCTTTACAATGAGATGTAATCCATACCAAAGGCTGTGCTCTTTAATATTCATCAATAAATGTTTTAAGTCCTCTTCACTTTCAGCAAGCAAGGTTGTATCATGCTTATCTCAGGTTGTTAATGAGCCTTCCTCCAATCCTGATGCCATGTTTTTCTTCATAGAACCCAGATTCTCATATCATTTGCTCAGCATACAGGTTGAATAAGTATGGTGAAAGAATACAACCTTGTCGCACATGCTTCTTAATGAGCCAGTCCTGATACAGCCTGGATATACACTTGGAAACTCCAGGAAGTTAGTCCAGGAAGGAGAGAACAGGATCCAGGGACTTGTTACCTCAAATAGATGGACTGAAAAGCTAATAGCTCCTATGGCAGTTTAGGTAAATCTGTGATGGTAACTGAGACTGGGAGATGAAGGGAAAGTAGGATTTCAGTTTGGAACCTCTCAGTTCAGCAAATGTTCATGGAACCAGTCGCTGCTCTAGGCAACAGGGTTGGTGAGGAACAAAAGGGAAGCAGAGAAGGTCCCTATTCTCCAAAGGGAGATTTTGTGGAGAAGGAGCTGATCATTAATCAAAGGCTTCAGAGACTGGGTCCTAGCTCTGACTTCAAGTGAGAATGAATATTTCCGCAAGCCACAAAAACGCTCAATGTTTTACTTTTCTGACTACAGAAGCAATATGTGAATTGTTGAGATTTTAGAAAACAAAAGTAAAATTAAGAAAATGAAAATCCACTTCATATATTCCACTTCCAGGGATCCCTGCCACACAATAGGCATTCAATACATCAAAAAAAAAAAAAAAAGTTGATTTAATGAAAGGGATTGAAGATATATTATTTACTCAGTTTTGAAGACCTAGAAATAGAAAAGCCATAAGACAAGAAAAAGAACTGAGCTAAAAACAATTTTAGAATACATTTTTCCTATTTATATCTATCTATGTTGTTGTTAAGTGCTGTCAAGTTGGTTCTGACCCATAGTGACCCTGTATAGTGAACCGTGAGGTTCAAACAGACTTTACACTCTAGTGCATTAGCACACAGGACCAAACCAGGACTCTGGTTCTTGGCCCAGCTTGGCCCATATATATATATATGTTGTTGTTATATACTATATATATATGTTGTTGTTAAGTGCCGTCAAGTCGACTCTGACCAATAGTGACCCTGTGTAGGGTTTCCAAGGAGCAGCTGACAAGCTTGAACCACTGACCTTGCAGTTCAAACGATTTTACAGTCTGACACATTAGCCCACAGCACATATAATAGGGCTTCCAAGGAGCAGCTGGTGGGTTTGAACTGCCAACCTTGTAGTTCGCAGTTCAGTGCTGATCCTACAGCACCCCACCGGGAGTCCATATCTCTATATAGATATAAATAAAAACAAAAACTTTTTATTGTGATCTGGGTAAAAGTTTCCATAGCAAATTGATTTTCCATTCAGCAATTCATGTACGTTTCATTTCATGACATTGATTAC